ATAACTTAATACATGAACTTTTGAGTGTGGGACAGATTCTCTCTCTACCAGTGAATTTAATTCTACCTATAGTTTTTATCCACTGAGCCGTGATGAGTATACATAAAACATTAGCAATCTTATCTCTGAATACATTTTTGCTCCATTGGGATTTGGAATCCTAACTATACGAGGTTTCAGTAGCAGTATATCACCTTTCAGACGGTTAATTCAACGATAATGTAAACCAGGCCGGGTTTTCCCTATAGTATTCTGTAAAGCTGTGAAGCGAGGTAATGTGGTATGAATTGTTACGTTAACTACTTCAAGAGCCCAAGTTTTTACATAATGTTTTTTCATTATCGTATCCAAAATGCGTTGTGTGGATAAATGGTACTACTACTAGGTATGGTCAGCTAACATATAACCGAGACAGACTCTTGTAAAAAGTCGTTTGCTTTATAAGCTGTATTTCGGTGGAAGCGTGAGCTTAGCTGTAAAATTACAGGATAACAGTCATAACAGCTTAGTTTTCCGGAATGGCAATATATGTGTGCAATTGAAGGGCGTCACGTGATGTTCGTGGTGCTGTTCAGTATACAGATGATGGATACCACTTATCATCAGAGGGGCCCTAAGCTCGTTTGCCATTCAAATTATTGAAAAAACAATTCCAATTGTCAACAATTCAAATTTGATTTGTATTAAATATAATATAAATATACGATTTTAATGATTTACGTAATGTATAGGCACGAATGTACATATAGATATGCCTTATCCAAGGGAATGAGTACACAATGTAAGTCGTGTCTGTAAAGAAAGGAGATCGAACATGAGACGAGTAAAGAAAAGGCAACGGTATAGTTACAAATATTGTATTAACTGATGTCATTATGTAAAATAATATATTTATTATACAAAACATAGACAAACAAAACGAAATATTAGTCAGTTTCCAATAGAGTCTCTAATGTTAATGATTGTTTCCAACTGAAAAATATCCTTAAGAAATCGCATTGTTCCAAGGATGGCCGAAAAAGAGATAGATGGACTGTGTGAAAGATGATATGGTAAGAAAAAGGGTAAATAACGAGATGACTGAAATAACATATTTCGCCGACCACAAATAAATAGGATAAAGAAGAAGCAGACGATAATGATGATGACGGAGCATCCGTTTCGTGTAAAATAAATTTAAAAACAGCTGTTCCCGCATCGGTAATATTATGTTTTGGTAGATAATAAAGGAATAATGAACTAGAAGACTTTGTACGAAGTCTTTATATTTATAATTAAGGGAATTAAAGTACAAATATAAGCTGAATTTTTGTAGTTAAGCTAAATCTTAGTATTGGTATCGTAGTAATAGTTTATCAAATATTGTCGCTATACGCTGTTAGGTGACAGCGTAGACTGACTTGTTTTAAATTGTCTGCAACCCGTCTCTTGGTCTAAGTCGACTAACAACTTTCAACTTTTCTTAACAAGTCACATGACAATTAAATATATTAACTGGTTGTCATAAAATGTAAACAAAATTGTCTCAAAGATAATCATGTAAGATAAATGATTGTAGATTCATATCTACTAAATAACATTATGTACATTTCTTCTCATTTAAATTAAAACAAACAATCTAATTAAATAGAAATCATCATTATTCGAATAAACTTAATATAATTACATACTTTTGAAACGCAATTTTTTTAACTTATCATTCACATTATACTTTTTTTTTACTTATACCTTTTCTTTACTGTGTGTTACAAATAAAGTATATTCTATCTATCTATCTATATTAATTTATTTAAGATATTACCAATTATGATTACCAATTATGCATTTGTAACGCCTATTAAACTATTTATTGTAACTACATATTATGTATCCATTAACGAAAAAGAAAAATGTTTATTATTTACTTACAATCAAACTAGCAGAGTTTTCTAGTATTTGAACAATAAATTTTAGATGTAGGTTTGTCAAATTGCAATTTAGATGGATATTTCAATGACACATTCGCACGTAATCTCCATAATGATTGCACTCGAGAATTTAACGGGCGGTGTTATGATGACGGGTGGCGTTTGATTTATTAGCCCATTGTCTGTCCTTTTGATAATTGCAATTAAGGTCAATTGGAATATAAGGTTGGTAGTATATGATCCAGTGATGGATTAACAGATCGAATATTTATTTGTAATTATATATATTTCTTTGAAGCTATTGTATGATGTACTTGCCTACGTAAACAATATACTGTTGGAGACCAGTGGAAAAGAGGATGACGATGAAATACTGTTAATTAGTCCATATATTTAAATGTAGTAAATATACAATATTAATAAAATTACTTAAAAAACAAATGCAGTTGAGTTTCTTGCCAGCTCTTCTCAATTGGTGGAACTGGACGGTAAGGGCAAAAATATAAATACAAGAAACTCGAAACGCATTAGTCAAGTTTGTTGTGTTTAAAATATTCTATTTACGTGAATGATGAAATGATGTTTGTATTTGTATGAAATGAACTACGCTGCCTCTGGAGCCCTAAATACTAATAATGCCTCCCGCTTATAGATTTTTTCTATTTTGATTTTATAACGTTTAAATTGAAGCGTAAAATTTTCTATTTTAATAATAAAGTATACGTGAAATTATACTTGGATTAAAAATATAAACAAACTATATTAACGTTGGATAATTAACTTCTACTTCATTTGAATTAAAATGAAATTCGTTTATTCTATAAAATATTTTTATTTAAAACATTATAATTGGTGTATGTAATTTGCATTAATTACGGTAGTTGCTTTTAATCCCAACTTCTAATTTTTTATAGCAAAAGATTATCTTTGATCATTAAGCTACTTAGTGACATTATAAACATAATAATTACGGCTTACCATACTGTCTGAGAGTGTAGTTTGAGATCTAATCAGATTAATCTAAATATAACAACATCCTTCTGTACTTAATTTTATTGCCAATAATATAATATATAATTACTCTAATTTTAGAATTATGGTAGTACCCGACTTGGAATCCTTTTTTAATTATTAATAATTTTATTTGTTTATAATAAATGTCACAAAATAGTTTGGATAACATTAATTGTTTTATAGGCATTTTGTAGTAAGAGTTAACTATGTAGGACAAATTGTAATCTGTTCTAGTTCTCTTCTCTGTTCACATCCCGCTGGATGTGATGACTTGAATAGATTACAATTTGTACGATGCTACGATGCTACTAAAGATGTATTTGTCATTTCATTAAAAAAATCTTTACTACATAAAATATTATAGGAATGATTTGTGATTACGTCTGATATTTAATTGAAAATTCTTTCTTCAGCAGTCAAATATTATAACATTATGTATTCTAAGACGTCAGCTGCTCTTTAAGAATATAGCAGGTCTAATATCAATATTAATAGCAATCCATTTCAAGTTAACTACAAGTTTTGTGATGTTTCTTTGCAAAACTTTCAAGAGTAGATTGAAAATGTAGTATGTGTGGAACTGTAGTGTTATATTTCATGTAATTATTATGTCTTAAAATGTAAACTACCTGCATACAGTAAACTTTGAATGTTATAAGTATAAAATCAAGAGCCAAAAAAGGTGCAAAATGGTACATTCCGATGTTGATAGGTCGGAAATGGTTTCAAGGGAAAAGCGACTGTTCAAGTATTATAAAGACATAGATATCTCAATAAAATTTTTATTAGCATGCCATCGCATGTTCTGATAAATTCATTTTCTCTGCATTTTATGGCTTGGGAAAGATACCGCCGTGACCGGGGTATCTGGACATAATAGAGTAGTTATAAGTGGGTAGGACTTGATGCATTCAATCATGTTTCATTAATCGAATGATTCTTAGAACATTGTCTTGAATGCCACGAGGAATAATTTGAAATAGTTAAGATACATGCTTTAGTCTTATTGTGTTAGCGGCTAGCAAAGTTTAAGTGCTTCGTATGAATGGTCTGCCACGACTTGCTTTATGTATATTGTCAGGCATTGATACAAAAATGAAGGTATTTGTTTATTTAAACTTATTCTTCAATCATATTTCTTATTGAATGTAAACTATTTTAAGTTTTGTTAAATTTATAGTTGTGATGTATAAGCTATATTACTGTAAAGTTTCATCAAAATCCGTTCAGTAGCTTTAGCATGAAAGAGTAACAAACATCTAACCATCCGTATTCACAAATTTTCACGTTTATACTCGTAATATTAGTAAGAACTATGATTATAATATTCATAATTTAAGAGGCGCGCTTGTTTCAGTGAAAATAATAGATTTACATTAAATTTTATTGCTATTTATAATTGGCTAAGATATCAAGAAAAAATTTTCGAACTAATTTTTTAAGATAAATGTTGATGATTATTACATAAAAAAGTATATTGAACGGTTCAAAACAAATTTATTAAATATTTACTGTATCCATCCAGTCGATCCAATTATATCTACCATATTGTAATAACTTTTTAATGATCCATAATGAATCATAAATTATATCAACTATTGACTGCTTTGTTAACTCAAGTAGGTACCTATTGACTGCATTGTTAAGGAAGGAATTCCTTTTTGTATGTAAATTGCCATACAAACTAATTATTGCGCAAATGACATGTTTAGATACGTGGGTTGATTTGAGATTACTATTTCACTAGTGATGCCGCGACTTTGTCCATATGGATTTAACATGAAACCTTAACAAATAAATAGATTTAACAGACAAACCTACAGTTTTAGCTTCGTCACTATGTTACAATTTTATTATATGTAATTACTATTGAATTGTTTTCATCTCATTTCGTTAATTTAAATAATTGTCGTTAGTTTACATACTTTTTATATTGTTTTCATTCTACAAAAAACAAACAAGAAAATATGATGAAATCAGTTAAATAGTTCTCAAGTTATGGCGTAACCAAAATAAATAGCAATTCATTGTTATATAGATAAAAGGTATGATTTTATTCAAACATTTTTTTTCTTCTAGGCCCCTCCATTATGTCCAGCGGGAGTTGTTCCGGTCCCGGGATATGTGGGGGTGCGCGGCGCCGTCCCCCACCTCCCCCCGAACCCGGGATATCCCTGGCCGCAGATCTCAGCGAGTTGAGTTTAGACCAAGGCTACCATACTCTGGCTGACTGCGGCCCACCAAGAAGAAGGAAGGATAATACCCTGAGTGATGCATTATGGTTGAAGATCCTCTCGCATCTCGAGGTAAGAAGATATTTTGTAATGTAGAGCGATGGGTATCACCTCACCACTGTAGCGTTATGTACAATGTGTTGAGGTGTCCCTACTTAGGGTTTCCTGTAGTATCTAGGTAGTGAGTATACGGGTGTAAAAATTGTACTACTTTAGTAAGTTTATTTGATAGTATACTACAATATATAGATAGTGTACTGGCTTTTTAGTAACGCGTACACTTAAGCCGGAGTCATAATAAGACTACATTGAAGTTAAAATTGAGTTATGTGAACGAATGGAACGGTGAGGTTGACAGAAATATTATAAGTACATGTAGGCACAGTAATATAGTGAAATAGAGATAGATTTTGTATGAATTCATCCGTGTAGTACCTACGCCTTGCCTATTTAGCATAATAGCTTACTTTACAACCTATGTTTAGGTTTGAGTAGTGAGATATGGAATGCCAACGCTTGAATGTCACAATCTATCACCATTGTCACAAATACGGAAATCATATAAGATTGGTGTCTGTCACAGATTTATTTTGTAATGTCTGTGATCCAGTTCGTGTATCTATTTATTAAGGATCACAAACAGGTTTACAATCGGAAAAAGTATAGGTAACCTTTTCGAGTTTTCATTAGATGGCCATATAATTACAAATACAAAATAAAAATATGATAGCGCTCTTATCCAGAGTTACCCTTTTAAAAATGTATTAATTTTCAGGTGTCAGACTTATGTCGAATGTCCAGGGTCTGCAGACGATGGGCCAGGCTAATCACCAGGTTAACAGCAAGGGCTGAAGTATGGAGACGTGTCCGTACTGCTGGCCCTTTGGAGATAGCAGCGCGGTGCGCTGGAGCTAGGGCTGGACCATGTATTACTGCTGTCAGGGAGTGGAGATCGAAGAATTGTGCTGTAAGTAGGAATTTTTGTTACCATTTACCATCAGACGGACCACCAGCTTATTATATCATTGCAAATTTATAAAAAATATACTAATTAGTAGAGTATAGCCGGATCTGTTCTTTAGAGATGTATACTTTGTACAAATGGAAAATAACTTCTATAATAAAGATAATGACCAGAACGTGTTTGTATACGTTGATTTGTTTTTTAAAACAACTTGATTGGTCGCTAGCTTTCGACTACGTAACTTCACAATTACTGCTGCACGTGATAAGTGGGAAGAAACGTATTTTTTTCTAGTAGCAAACCTTATAGAAAATAATGGTATATAAATTATTGCACAATATTTTTGTATTCGACTACTTCTCGTCCTTTATTAACTGACTAGTTGTATGCGGTTTTAATAATCAATTTATTTTTATCTGTGTTTTTTGTAATATCCAGCGTCGCTTGGTTAACATGACATGTTCATTATAAATAATTATTATGTTTGACTTAAGCTAGACTAACTAGATGGAGTCCGTAACGAGTTTATAATGTTTTTTTTGTAAAAAGCTATTGCCTGGGGGATCCTCAGTCTAGTCTAAAGTCTCTTAACGAAATAATGTGTAATATTTATATAAATACTCAATGTAATATATAATTGTGTCTTGTGTCGCGAAGTATGTTACCAAACTCCCCCGAAACGATTAAACCGATTTTTATGAAATTATATATATAGAATAGTGTGCATAACGGGAACATTGAATCAGCTAGTATCTATTTTTCATACCTCAAAATTTTAAGGGTGACCCACCCCATAATTTTTTTCTTATTTTTAATATATTACAATTTAGCGTTGACAAATATATGCAATTCATAATAATTTTAATACAAGCACCGGTGTTAACAACAATGTTAAGAAGAAGAAAAGACGATCATACACTCGAGTTCCAAAATTATAAACTGAATTATTAAATAGGTTTTAATAACTACATTTCGAACTTACATGACGGTAGATTTGACTTATAAAGGATTTGACCGTAAAAGCGACTAATGAAAAAGATGACTGCATACAACTGAAATGCGAATGTTGAGATAGATGTGTTGTGTGACAAGAATGGACAGGATAAAGTGGCGCCGGTGGCGGAGAGGTTGAAAAGTAATCGTATGTCATGGTATAGGTATGGAATACTTAAGAATGAAGAGAATATTTTAAGGAAGGTGTTACATATGAATGGCAGATGAAGGCCTAAAAAGAGATGGATGGACTGTGTGAAAGATGATATGGTAAGAAAGTATAAATAAAGAGATGACTGCGAACAGGGATGATGAATAGAAAAACATACTAGACCGACCCCAAATAAATAGGATAAGGAAGAAGCACATAATGATGGTATATTTGACTTATCATAAGTGTCTGTAATAGATTTACATGTAATATATTTTGTTACAGGTGACGGTAGCTGGTGCCCAGTTGCTGGCAGCGACTTTTAGAAATCTGACTCATTTGGCGGTTATAGGGTCTACCAGCATAGACGCGCGGTCTTTAGCGCCGATAATTACGGATTTAGTGGATCTTAGGCATATTGACCTCACCGGTGAGTTTTTATACCATGATTGGAAAATGTATTTAGGTGTTTATTGTTACATTATTTTTGGTTATTAATTAAGTCGTAGATATTCTTCCATTTTAACGCAATATTATACGGTCAGCTGAGACCGTGTGACACTGTCTCCTATATTTATGACTGCTGTTATAATATTCAAAAACGACTTATGAACACCGTTTGGATATTCTTGACTCGTCCATCAGTTAGGTCAGTCTGGGCATTATTCGTGGTATTTCTATTCGCCTACTTTCGCATTGCATGTCTGTTTGGAATTAGATAATAATGATGGTAAAACTAGTTCGTTTTGATTCATAACGACGGCAGAAGTAGAGAGGTGTATATCAGGAATCAGTCAGGAATCTCTGAACTATAGACTCCTACATAGATAATGAGTTGCGAGATTGCGAAAAGTGGACTAAGTAGTAAGGACGGTCTCTGTAGTGGAGCTGTTTAGCGAAAGTAAGGAACTTTCGATGGTCACAGGTTCGATTTCTTGCAAGATAGAAATCTTTGTATTCTTAAGTATGATTGTTTGAGCCTGGGTATTTACTAGGTACATTATGTATGTTTTAAAAAAAAAAATTAATTTAGGCATCTTTGTCAGATGTTTAATACCCATAACAGAAGCCCTGCTTAGTTTGGAACTAGACGGCGCTATGAGAATCGTCTAGTATTTTATTATTAGTATTAATCGTGAGTAAGGACAATAGTCTGTAGTACTTTAGTCTCTCTACTGTAAGTAATTTGGCAAGATCATAGTACTACTAATGATATTTTAATAAATGCTCAAAGGCTTGATGCCGGATATTTTACCAATATATACTTGGATCAATCAATTATACTAGTTACTAGATAAACTATATAGTTTTCTTATAAATTTAATTATATACGCCGTCTATATTCAGTCGTCACCATCTACGGTCAAGTCCGTAGGTAATATACTTAATGAACCTACCATCTTATCATCCATGGAATAAATTGTCTAGAAAGTAATAAGTCTCTATTACTCGGATTTTTTGTTTAAATTGCGTACAACGAAGTTTCGAATAGAAATTAGGCTTTAGAGAGTAATTACTATACTTGGTGAGTTGGTCGACTTTTAACAGAGTTGTAAATATATTCCATGAAAACTTTAATTAAATTTACTCTCAGGTACTAATGGAGTAGATACTTGTTCAAGTATAGAAAGTATTTATTTAGAAAATCCTTGAGAAATGTTAAGTGTAATATGTACGAGTACATATATATCTAACTTAATTTATTATAGTATATAGGACATTAATTTAAATTTGGAAATTTGTCTAAATATTAACACACATATAAATAACAGAATAGCAATTATGCTTGACGACAATAAATATTGTTTAATTATTGGGGATGTTATTTTTCAAATATTTCATCAAAGGTTGATAGGTTGAAAAATATTGAAATGTCCATTTAGGCTGTACGAATTAATTAATTGCATATAATAACGTACATAATTTTAAGCTCCCATAAGCCAACATGTGAAGAAGATAAAAAAATGTTATAATATTTTTTATTTCAATTAATATCTAGTCAATAAAAAGCTATTTGAAAATATTAAGACGTTAACAGTATCCGACATTTAGTATCGTATAGATGAACGAACTAATGAAAAAGGTGCGATTTTTAATCATAATTAATGCTACATTTGAACCTCTTTATTTATATTGGAGTGGAGTATCACTTTCTTTTTTCAAATAATACAAGTAGCTAGAAAGCAAACACAGTTCAACAGCTAAAATAGATTTGGTATTATTATAAATAAATGTACCTACAGCATCATTATATTAATACGTGAAGCAAAAGTTTTGTACTGCTTTTTACGAAAATTGCGTGGGCGGTGGAGTATGAAATTTGAAAACATGGAACACTTATACTTTATAAAGGAGGAATGCAGAAATCTATTTTTTTTTAATTATAAAAATAGAAAATGCATTAAATAAATGAAAAAAAAAATATCACAAACTACCGTGTATTAGATACACACATGCATATATCAATATACTACTCTTTTGTTTATTTGTTACTGCTGGTTCAAAGATCTGTAGGTATTTTTTATTATGGTCGAATTTTGACCATTAGTATGTTTAAAAGTGTAACGGGTAAGTTTCTTGCCCAATTTTTTTGGATAAATGAAAAAAGCACTATTCTAATTTTATTTCATTACTATAGCCAGTTTTATTTCAATAAAAATAAAATAAGGCCAGCCGTTAGTTTAGTTAACTCTACAGCATCTCAGATGTGCATTATAACTAAGCTACTATTACAGTTTAATTTCTAAGGTGTGCAAACACTTGATGTTACATGACCTCACGTTGGCGCGGATCGTAACGACTTTATAGTAGCAGTTAAAGGTCCAATTACCGGCACATTGTATGGTAAACCGTTCATACAGGAAGAGAACCAGATATGGTTTACTCACTTAATGAACTGTGCACATGATCCAACCATTCTTCGACAGTTGCGTAAAGTAGGAAATGAGTTTTCTTTGCTTATTAAAATTCTACTAGTATTGGAGTTTCCACATTTTTTTCATTCTCACATTGTCGGAACTTGTAAATAATTAATAATAACTATAAAAAGATCTTGAAAACACAGGATCTGGATATCAAGGTAATTATGATTGAAATGAAAAGGACATTATTGAAATTTGGATAAATATGAATTTAGAATGCCACATAATATCGAGTAATTCGAGTATGTATCGACATAATTTCGATAATATTCTAGAAAACTTAACAAATATTTGAATTATATTCTGTAATATTTTTTATCTGTGGATATACTTATAATTCATTGTAATAATAATTCAAACCGCGTCTGCTCGTATTTTTGAAAATAAATAAACGGAGTATCTAGTGCTGGTTATAATATGTACGTTTAATAATAACTTGTAACTAAAATATAGAAATTTCTACAAATGTGCTATAACGTTTTATAATAAGGTTGGTTTTCTAAAGTTGAAATTTATGACGTAAATATACCTATATTGTGATAATGCTAACAGTGGAAAATTACGTCTAGTTATTTATTAAAGCGGTATAACGTTACGATTCCACAAATAATAACGTACAAATATGTATGATATTCTTTTAATGGTAATAACAATGAAGTAAATAATATAACAAACTTTCTAGTTTCATTTATAAAATTTTACATTACTTGAGGTATCAACAAGTTACCAACAACCTTCGTGTTTTGTTGACTTTCGATTTGAACCCGATAAAAAAGATATTGCTTTTCTTTTAGTTGTTTGATATAAAATACGGTCAACAAAGGATTTTATGTTGTCACAAAATATAGTAGGATGGATCTAAGGAACTTATAGAATATAAAAACGGATATCACGTACTTATTTGCGAGTCGCACGGAGGGTTCTGTTGAAATAATACAAACGATTTATATTATTTTATATAAAAAATATTTATCCATATAATACATGAAGTTATTTGGGTTGTAATGTATTGTACGTATAATAAAATAGCTGTGGCCAGCTTCTTTAGAATTGGTACAATGACTTTATTTTTAATTTTAGGATGATACTTAACTTGTGATATGTTTGTTCCGTTATACCTCCTTTATTGCTAGCAATGTATAATGTCAGGTTAACCTACAGGCAGATTTCTCTTGAAAACATCGTGACAAATTCCTGGTGAATTGGGTACGGTGACCTGACTTCATGTTCATGTTATCATCCTCCATTAGTACCCTGCCAGCGTAAACATTATCATCCATAAAAAATAGATATTATTGCAACCCACATTTGTTCACTAGATAGGAATAATATTTACTTAAATTAAACCAAATGTGAGTAAAAACACAAGTTTTCTGAACTTACGGATGTCAATACGGTATGGATGAAGGTAGTACAGTTGGCCGATGTAATGAATAACGCTATAGTGGAATTTTACCTTTTTCGCCCGCAACCCTAAAAATAGAAAAAGATTTATATTGTATCCTAAATTCATTTCATAAAAAAACTATCCATCTTTTATATTTTTGGTCACTACATAAAATTGTTCGTTCTCGTGTTTACTGCTATCTACTCTGAGATGTAATCTTATATATTGATTACTTTTTTCTTTTGGACATTATTTTACTAGCACTATCGACGTTATTTTTTTCTTACAATTCACTTTTTTATGCAACTAAAATGTAAGGAACTGTCCGTTATATACTTATTGGCAGAATATAAAATAAAACATAACATGTTTAACTTTAAGTACTTTTAAATATATATTTTTTATTCTACATCTTGTTCTAAAGCAGAATCAGTCAAAAATAATGAGTAGTGTTATTTATATTTTCCACAATTGATGAGTGATCTCTCACGATTGATAGAGATCACTTGAGACATTTATTTATAAATTCATACATAGAAAACAGTCAGAACAATACAAGAGAACATTTGCATTCATGAATATGACTGATATTCATGAATGCAAATGTTCGTATCATGCGAGGAGTCGAACCCGCGATCATCGAAAGTAAGGAGGTGTGTTTAACTGTCGGACCACTGAGGCCGTCAAGATTGTGTACCTATAATCTTGTATGTCGAAATAATTTTCATAAGTTCTTAAGCAAAAAAAATTGTGTCTTTACTAGACACAATTATTTTTTACTAAATAAAATAAATCTACTTATTTATGGTCACGTGACTAGATATTTTGTAATTAAAATAACCATCACCTTTTTCTCAGGTTGCCCAAACGTGGACTGGCCGGAGTGGGCATGGCTGGAGACGCGACTCTCCACCCGCAAGCCACCAGTGGAGTATATAGATCTGACCGACTGTGGGCTTGTCACAGATGGTGGTTTATGTGCATTGCTACATACTTGCCCATCGTTGCAATACTTGTATTTGCGGCGGTGTACCCTAGTCACAGGTAATTTTATTTTTTTATATAAATAACGCGTGAGTGTTACCCAAGAAAATTAGTTATTCCTGTATGTAAAACTTCTTTTCATCAAGGAAGTTGCTATTTAATGGCTATAAAAATATATAATAAAATCCTTATTTACTTTAAAGAATTGACCATAAATTCTTTTAAGTACAAATATAAAAATTGGCTAATTTGACAATTGTTTTTTACAATAAATGAATTTTTCGCTAAAAGTTAGGTATTTAGATGCGAAGCCGGTTATAAACGTAACGATTTTAACTAAGTCGTTATAAATGCATTTTTATGTGTTAACAGGTATATATAAGTTAGCCGCATTATATGCTTGGTACTTTCAGTACCTAGAGCCAAAAAAGGATTGACCACAAACAAAAGATAAATTAACTTTATAAAAGAAGGCTTAACTAGAAACTCTAAGAACAAACCCTTCTCTATGCTAGGTATTACACTTGACTGGACTATTTTAATGGACACGTATAAAAATCATTCATCATCCAGACCAGTCAGAGATATATTCCTATATTAAAAAAAAATGACTTTTACTCTTTTTTTATCGCAGTCAGATAACCGCATTTTAAAGGTAGCTAACCATTTTGGTAAAATAATGGTAGGTAACGGTTTTTTTACAATTATAGTGACACTACAGGCATCACATGATGACGTGATATCCCGTGGTTTCGTCCATCTATTTAGGCGACGGTTGCCACTTACCATCAGATGGGTCATCTATGTGTTTATTTTTTTAATTACTTTTAAAAGTTATATTATCACCGATTAAAATTAATGTTTAAAAAAGTTATAAATTGTAAATATAAATACTATAGGAAAATTAAGTATGTTTATTGAATAGAGTAAGGGTGCGGGATGTAATAATCATGAATTAACTAGTTTAGAGAGAGCATATAAATCACAGTCATCATATTTGCATCAAGCAGTTCTGCCATTAAATATCAATATAAACCTACTATTACAGCGCATTATACTAATCAAATGTAATCAAGCACTTAATGTTGCGACAACTATATTAGATTTTGCTCTGTTCAAACGAGATATATGTCCCCAATTGAATAACATACTCTTGTATTATAACTACTAATATTATAACTGCCGAGAATTATTACGATAGATATTTATTTATCCCATTTTTTTTAATAATTTCATTACTTCGATGGTGTTGGCGACCGACCACCGCTCTTTTGATATTTTTAAATTCATATTTTAGAACAATTTTTATATGTCATGTTTTTGATACATTTAAATTATTGTTATATTCTCTTTTCCACAGTCTGTAACTGTTATATATTTAATTGCATATTAATATATTTTACTATCAAAATCTACGTGTTTTCATTATTTAGATGTCCTTCATGTAGTATGTTCTAGTGACATCTAAAATATCTACAGTAATACAAAATTAAGTTAAATTAGTAAATCGAAATATTGTAAATAAGAAAATTTTATTACGTTGCATGGATGGATAGACGCTTTTATTATTTTACGCAAACTACTGGACGGATTTGAATGAAATTTAGTAAACACACACAGAATATCCTAAATTTACAAAATAATGAATTATTATTTTTGCGGGTAGCATATGCGGGGTTACAAGTAGTGTTACAAATGAGAAAATTACCTTTTGATACTTAAATTACTAAACCAATTTGTGTAAATTTTGAAAAAGAGATAGATAGTAAACCTTTAATTGGATGAATTACTTTGTGTAGTGAAAATATAACTTGATGGGGGATGAAAGTTTTTATAGGGAATCAATAATATATCAAGTAAAATATAAAAAACTTGACATACAAAATAGTCTCCAAGTTCTAATTCTACGCAGACGAAGACGCATGCAACTGATAGTAACAATTTATGTAATTACGATCTGCCGAGTTGAAGCGCATTCACATCTGATGAAAGCAGAGCAATTTCAGCTTGTTGCAACGGTAAAATAAATTATCGAATTATATTGTATTCTTGCTTCATTTGAGAACACATATTGAACACATATTTGTATATACAAAGTGTAAGGTTGACCACAGACTTAATTTGAGAACGGGTATAAGGTATAACCTTTTAAAGAATTTATTAAAAATCTAATACCAGTTCTCAAATTATATGCCTAAATTATTTGTGATCATAAAAACGTTAAATATTGATAGTTAATAGTAACCTCGGTGGTTAAGCGGTTTAGCACACCGTCTTATCTCTAATTGTCGCGGGTTCGATTCCTTGACACTTGTTTTTATCGGTCTGGGTGTAATATATGTGTATTATATAAAAAAAATGTATTTTACTATTTCTATCAGTTTTCTAGTGCCCACAACACAAGCTCTGCGTAGCTTGGGACTAGATGGCGCTGTGTGAATCGTTCTGGGTTGTTATATTATAATTATATTCATGAAACTGAGCAACCTTTCTCAAATAGCAGAACAGAAAATAAAGTTGGTTACTTGACGGTATATAAAATTCAAAATTTAACTTTTCAATTTTCCAGTTTACCTCTGTGTGTAAGTGTTTCGATTCAGCTTCTTGTGTATAAGTCCTCTTAAGTACTGCTATTCCAGCAGTGAACGGTTTGAGACTATCTATAAATACATGACTTGTCATTTATGTAAAATTTGGAAAAGGTCGTAGGAATATCCGAGGGGCTAAAATATTTACGTAAAATAATATTTACCACAACGCTCCAATTACAAGAATCAGATTGATTCAATTCAGACATAGATTTGATTATTTCCGGCAAGAAATTGACTTACGTAAGTAAACGTATTATTTTGTTTAAGTATATACTTTGCTCAGTTAATACTAATGTTTTCGAGTTTTCGTTTAATAATATAATTAAATATAATTGAGTTTGAATTTTAAGTATATAAATAAGTACTACTACAGCCTATCCTATTTGCGTAGCTATCATCACAATCATCGGTGTGACCTGTCTTATTCGATTATTCATCAATTCAATTCAATCGATGGCCTCGGTAGTCTGGTGATTAAGCACACCGCTTTGCTTCCGATGGTCGCGGGTTCGATTCTTCGCACGGTACAAACATTTGCATTCATGAGTATGTTTGTATCGGTCTGGGTGTTTTCTATGTATTTACAAATTTATTTATAAATACAAGCTCTGATTACCGTGGTACTAAATGGCGCTGTATTAATTGTCCAAGGTTATTTATCTCTATTAATACAGATATCTGTATTAATATAATATAAGTTAGTTGTGTCCAGGTTTTGGATATGCAAATATTAAATATGTTGTCATAATATAAAAATGAATGTCTTAAAATTAGCGTTAACAATTCATAAATTATTTTAAAAAGGAAATGTGGTAACGGTGACTGCTATATTTAGTGTATATGTTTTTAAACTAAAATCGATACGATATCGTCTACTTCAAAAAAATATACTTACTCTAATTATGTAGGTAATATAGTTTGAAGTCGATTGGAACTCTCCAATAATATTGAAGTTTTGTATAAATTGCGTTATACATTTTGCCTTTACTACGTCAATACCCATATTCTGTGCTATAGTGTACATACTTTCGAAATTAAATTACGTTTTCTTGGATTCCCGTTTGTGGAGACCATGAAATTTGCATAGCTATTATTACCTAGTGTACCATGAATTTGTAATCAAAACGCTCCGAATTTGAATATGAAAGCGAATTTTGAGCAACTGTTTCTCTGTACTCTGATGAGTTTAGGAATTTGCCGCTACGTTTGATTCGATGAACATCAATCCAAGATTAACAAAGCTATATATTTGAATACCTTTAATGTTATTTAGTTAGTCGAGTTAACAGATCCAAGAAAATGCGAATGTTGATCTGTAGTGGTGTATTTTTGTTTGGAATTTAACGCGGATACTTATTCAATGCCGCTTTTCTCTCTTCAGGCATAATATATATTCTAATCCGGTTTTCATTGATTGAATTGTTTTTACGGAGTACATATATTTTTTTATAAATATCTACTATTATACCAACACTGTTGATATAATAGTAGATTTTTATAAAAAAATATATGTACTCCGTAGTGTAAGTGTAAGTAAGTGGAACTATATGCAAGTATTACCACCAATGTCGTTATCCATTTACGTTTGTCTTTAATCATGGAATCATTGTGATAATTAACTATCTGTTTCATTGTATAATAAATTTTTTTGTATATTTGTAAGTCACATCTCGGACTTAATAGTTTATATTTAATTGTATTTTGAACTTGGATTTAAAATCAATTATGTAATCATTCGACTCAAATATATCCAGCGTTCACCACGACTTAATATTGACGATGCCTTCAGATAAAAATATTTATTTCTTCTAAATTTACAATTTACAATCACTCTCCTGCAAAACTCCTGTCAGCATTTATCGGGAGGAATGAGGTCACTCATTGCTAGCATTGCTAGCATGTAACCAAGATGACATCCACGCGTTTTCCTCTGGAAACCATCGTGATAAATTCTTGGAGACTTTAGCACAATGACCTAACTGACCTGACCTCATGCGTACCCTATCATCCTCCACTGGTATTCTGCTAGCGTGGACCATATCATCCATTAAAAAAAAAGTAATTACTAACCAACCCATTTGTGTTAAGAGAGTAAATAGTAAGCTGTTTAGACCAGTGTTTCCCAACGTGGGGCCCACGGCCCAATTCTTTTATTAAAATTATATGGACCGTGAATTTCAAGTTTACATTCTATGTTTTGAAAATTTCCTTACCTTTCCTGTTCATAACAATTTCCCAGGGATATCTTCTTAAAACCAGTTACTTAAGTTTCTTACGTGACCAATTTCATGTATCAATATTATAAATTATGTATGTTACATGGAGGAGATTTTAGAAATAAGAGTTTTAGAAAGACTAGCGTGGCGCATGGCACTGAAAAGTTTGGGAAACACTGGTTTAGACTGAACTGTGTACGAAAGCAATTACATCAACCTATTAAACATGAAATGCGGAGCGACAGTAATGTAATATAGCAGCAAAGTTCGTCTGTTTTACTAAGAAGTAAAGTAACACTAACTTGAAATGCCTAAACGTTAAAAGCTAATGCGAATAGTTTTAATTCATTTAAAGATATTATCGTAGAACATATAATATTCTATTAATCCATTGGCGGTCTCGTAGGTTTAGCGGTTTAGCCCACCATTTTACTATCAACAGGCGCGGGTTCTATTCCTCGCAAAATTTTGAATGCATTGGTAGGTTTGTTTACTATGTATATTATGTATGTATTTAAGTATTTCTATCAGTTGTCTAGTACCCATAACACAAACTTTGCTTAGCTTAGGACTAAATGGAACCCTGTGAATTGTACAGATTAGTATTACTATTATACTTACGCATGTGATTATCTACAAAATATCGTTCTTAGAATAAAGAATACGACAAAGATGCACAAAATACATATATTATTAAATCACTAAAAATATATCAGTATAAACTATACTAAATAGAATTAAATAAAGGTTTCGCCAGAGATTATAAAAGACGTCTGAGTGGCCGCTATGTATACCGCTTTTAAATGAAGTTTCATTAATATGGTCATATTAGGCTGTGAAATAGAATAAGTGGTATCACACCCAAGGAAATGCATGAGGGATACTACGGGCGTCACATGATAACGTGACTGTTCTGGCGCTCTCCATATATAGGCGACAGTTACCACTTACCGTCAGGCGCGCCTATAGTCTCTATATCGTTCCAATTATATAAGAAAACCCACAACTTCGTTCGCATGGAATTTAACTTAATTTTTCTAAAATAATAGTAGCCTAAGTTACTTCTTATTACATCAGCTATCATCCAAAAAAAGTCCAGTTAAAATCGGTCCAACTATTTCAGAGATTAGCCGGAACAAACAGACAGACAGCAGACAAAAATTGTAAAAAATGTTATTTTGGTATATGCACCGTATTTATAAACATATGCATGTAGTAAAAAACGGTTATTTTAATATTACAAACAGACACTCCATTTTATTTATATGTATAGATGTAATACCTTTCACACGGTTATGTGTATGTTAAATTAGTTAATGTGTTTATGTTTTTCAGATGCAGGCGTACGATGGATACCCTCATATTGCGCGCTGAAAGAGTTAAGCGTGTCTGACTGTACCGGCGTGACGGACTTCGGTTTATACGAATTAGCGAAGTTAGGTCCGGCATTGAGATATCTCTCTGTCGCTAAGTGTACGCAGGTCAGTGTAGTGCAGTGCACCATGAATAAATACTTACCTTTTTTTTTATTTATTACAAGTAGCAGAACATTAGAAATCACAGTGTAATGTAGAGATATTTAGACCGATATATAGTGCTCTGTGTTCTTGAGAGCAAGCAGAAACCTTGTCCTTGAAGACTTAAATGTTATATTACTGTTGCTGATATTATATCAAAGATTGTTTTCCTATTACTACTTAAAACTGAATTAAGGTTTTCATTCATATACGACACGCCATCAGATTATTTCTGTCCCATCTTGTCCATAGTTAGCCAGAAAAATAACTAATATACTGAGGAATACACCTAAAACTAATCTAGCTTCGAATGATACAGTCTCTTTTATATGCGTTACAAATACATCCCAACAATATAAATATATACAGTTAGACTTTATATAAATAAATCTTCTAATTTTGTAACAGGTGTCAGATTCCGGTATCCGGACTCTCGCACGGCGATGTTACAAACTCCGCTATTTGAACGCGAGGGGATGTGGCGCTCTCGGGGATGGTGGAGTGGAGGCAGTCGCTCGGGGATGTTCAAGGCTGAGGGCTTTGGATTTGGGAGCCACTGACGTGTCAGAAGCTGGTCTACAGGTGAGACTTATGTTTTATCTTTTACAGGGAGTTCATAGAGGCCACAGAGACAACTTTGTACAAAGTGTACTCGTTATAAAGCTAATTCGTTTTCTATAATATTTTCAGTGGTTTATAAATAAATAGTTTTCTATACTCGTAATACTCGTTTCGGTTTGGCACTGGTGTACATGTTTTATACATATGACCCTTCCTCGTGAATCACTCTATCTATTGCTAAAAACTGCATTAGAATACGTTGCGTAGTTTAAATGATTTAAGCGTACAGACAGCGGAAGCGATCATTTTATACTATGTAAAGGCATTGAGTGTAAAATAACATTTCTATGATGGTTCTTTTTCAACTGTAATAAACAAGAATGTATCTAGTCAAGGAAACAGTTCTTACACTATCTATAATAGTACCTCGGTTACATTCGTGTTAAAATTGATATTTTTAAGGTATGAATTTTGTCTTTTAGATCCTTGCGCGATGCTGTCCAAACTTAAAGAAGTTAGCTCTTAGGGGCTGCGAACTAATTGGTGATGATGGACTCGAAGCTGTAGCCTATTACTGCAGAGGACTGACCCAATTGAATATACAAGACACGCCTGTAACTTTACGAGGTTATCGAGCAGTCAAGAAGTACTGCAAGAGGTGCGTCATCGAACATACAAACCCTGGATTTTGTTGATTTTTAGTGGACTTATATTTTACTTGACACTCACCCTTGCCTCGCGTGCGTGTATAGTGTATGTAATATATATCATAGAACTAAATGTATGTTTCATACATATGAACCTTCTGGAAAAATCTGTAAAAGCTAGAGACAAACGTGTCGAATTTTATCCTTTGCCCGGTTTAGAAGTTATAGGATAAAATGACTAACAAAACTAGTGAATATGATATTTTACACAAGCACATTGAATTCTGTGTGATTTAAAACTTTATTTTAATGTAATTAAGTTCATTTTTTTGTCTGGCGCATGTAACAACACTACTGCATTAACTTCATGAAATTAAAAATACAAATAATTAATATAAAATATAATATTAGAAATTGTTATCATTTTAAGCAATCTGTAAAAGAAAAAAAAAAGAATCGAAATATTATCTGTTACATTTTAGGGATTTTATTTTTATATATTTTTGTAGATATATCTATTAATAACTCTGATTTGGAAACAAAGTGTACATGGAAATATCAAAGCAGAATATTGAAAACTATTTTTCTGTTATAATAAAATTATAATGTTCTAAATCCCTACTAACATTTTAGTGTATTATTAGAGCAGAGAAAAAAGAAAACAACATGTAACATGGGAGTAATATGCTGCCACAAAATGTTATGTTTTCGTAAAATAATATGATTCAGCAAAAGGTTCTAAAGGTTTTCTATTGAAAGGGTCCTTTATTAATATAATAGTCACGTCGAGGTATTCTCTAATACTTTTAGAATAACAGAAGAGATTGTAGAAAATATTATATTTTGAAGATAATATAGAACTTTACAAAAACTATATAGTAGATAGTTGTTTTTACATATCAAAACGTGTCCAGTCCTAATTGAACACAATCAATAATAAAGATAGCTAATAATTTCGATGAAATTTGAAATTATTTAAATAAAATCAAATCAAATACGTATCTGCGTATCAAATACGTATATGTGCCTTCAATGAATAAATATTAGATATAACTTAAAATTATATATTATTGTTATAAAATTGTAATTAATTAATATTTTTATTTGTATATATTTTTAGTATAAATATTTAATTAATGTGTTTTGCTATAATATACAAAGAAGTTGATGTCATTCTGTTTTAGAAATACTTTAATAAAATGATGGATACCAAATTTATAACAACACAAAAACACTTTATGCAACATAAGGTAAAAAAATGCATTTGTATTATTTCTGTACAATACTAATATGAGATAATTTTATAAATATTGGATAGAGTTTCATAAATGTTGGATAAGTGCAATGATTTTAAAAAATTTTCACTGTCATTTGCTTTTAAAAGATTTGAAATATTGGGAGGTTATAAACAAAGTCATGGTAAATATTCCGTTTAAATAGTGTCAATGAATAGTATTTCTTACATGCCAGTTTTATTTCGTACAAATAAAAAAAGTAATCATCATAAATTATAGCATTTATAATGCAAGCATATGTGTTTATGCTTGAGGTACATTTTTGCACGAAAGGAGTGAAAAAATTTTTGCCAATTCTCAAGGGGTATCCTGTATGTCGTGTTGACCTACTTGTGCGAATTGTTTAGTGAAGCGAACGTGATGAAAAATGCATATTCATGATTATTTATTATTATTTGACAATATTTTCATTGTTGTTTACTTATTACGAGCAGCTCTGTTTAATGTCATTCTGTACATACAAGTTTATTGATTTTTCTTTGATTTGACTAAGTAATGTAATATTATTATTGGATGACGCCCTCTGTGATTTAGCGGTTTAGCATACCGCTTTACTTCCGATGGTCGCGGTTTCTATTCGATTTGTATTCATAAATATTATTGTTTGTATCGGTCTGGGTGTTCCCTTATATTATGTATGTATTTACAAAAATAAAAAAGTATCTATTTATTTATATCAGTTGTCTAGTACCCATAATACAAGCTCTGCTTAGCTTGGGACTAGACGGCGCTGTGTGAATCGTCCAGGGATATTATTATTATTATTATATGTCCAAAACTTTAAAGCTGACTTTCAAATACTTCATTTTCTTTATTTTATTATAGTTTATTATAAGCGCACATTTTTTTCTCTGAAACAGCTGTGAAACTGAATCACTGTTTAAATCAAATAAATCATAATACGCAACATAAAATTTGTAATGTACACTAAGCCAAGAAAAAACTGACAATATATCTGTACTACATACATATAGATATGATAAAAATAGTAAGAAAATATCGGCCGCGTCATAAGCAATCACATGATAACAGATTTTATATGCAAGTCAATATGAGATAGAAATAATCTTTATTAAAACAATTTCTTAATATACTCACTTTTGAATAGTCAGCCAAATGTTTCAGAGAATTTAGCAAAGGAAATTAGTAAAGGACTTGCCTATTGCTCTTTTAAAGAATTTCGTATAAATTTTATATTTTGTGTGATTATAAATTACCAAACAGCATGGATTGATAAGAATAGGCATAATTGTTTGTGTAATGAAATAAATCAGTCACGGTTTTTTTACGACAACGTACTTTGAAATAGTGGTTCAGTAAGATTTAAACAGTTTCCAAAAATGTGGATGTTATTATTGAAGCGTATTATGTATTTATTATATTACTTAATTAAAGGTTTGTCTATTATGGGTCGGTGTTTCAGAAACAAGGTTTCTAATACGATGTATTCTAAAAATAAAATGAATATAACTCTAAGTATTCTAACCTACTTACCTATGTAGATAATATACTACTTGCTATTGAGCAATGTCAATGAACTATTTAAATCATCTTAAAAATACAATATCATATTTAGCCTTCAATGATATCTAGAGATAATATCACCGACCGGCGGATACACAAGTCTCACACGGTGGAAAATTTTATGTTATATTTGTTGGGTTATTTGAAATGACAATTTTGTGAATATACCTATATTTTCCTTTAACCATTTTTTTTAATTCACGATTAAAAAAAAGAACAATATTTTCACTTTTCAGTTCATTCAGATTTTTAATGAAAATTTATATCTATCATTTATTTATTTAGCGATACAATCTATCAACCTCATCACGAATTGATTTCTCTCTTTGACTGTGGGGAATAATTTTGTGTACAGTATACGGTAATTACCTACTCCACGATCAATTATTAGGTATACATTTGAGATAATTCAATATTAAAATTATTAAAATCAATATATTTCCAAATAACTGTTTAAAAGTTCACGTAATAATTATTTTGTTATAGTGCCATACATACAATTTGTGGCGAAAAAGTAAATTATTTCTATCTTGTAAGAAATTGTAAGTAATTAGATTTATATTTATAAATATGTAATTATTATATTCAAAATATCTTTAAAAGATATTATTTATTAGTGTAAATTGTATTAATTCAGTATCATTAACACGATTGCCATTGTTGTTTTAATGTTTATAATTAAATTATACTTTTTAACTGACTAATGAGTTTTTATCCGGTTCTGGAATTTGGTATCTAATTTTTATTGATTTACCTAGGTAGATCATAAATTCACGAAGAATCACATGTTTCAATTGCTTAGTGAGATATGATTCAGTTATGGGTGAGACAAGGCAATTAATTTACAGGATACGGAGGCATGACTAAGATGTTATCTATCGAAATGGTAAACCATAAGTGGTGGCACAGTGGCGTGACGACGTAATATCTGTAGCTGTACATAGGCGACGGTTTCCTCTTACCATCAAGTTCGCTGAAAGCTTGTTTTCCATACCAATTACAGAAATAACTCATAGCGTTTGATAGTTATATTGCTTAACATCTATTAACAATAATTGAGTAAGGTTATGACTATGTACCAATCTTACTTAGATACTAAAAGGAAGAAACATTTAGTTAAGTTCCTCAATAAGCTACTGAATTTAACATACCTATGAATAAAATAATCCTTAGAATGAGAGTACCATTGAGAAACAAAACGCGCTATAATATTATAAATCATACAGAAACAGATTTACATAAAATGGAAGAGAATAAAAAAGTATAGTATAGAAGAGTTAACTGATCCTAGTATCGACATTTATTACAATTGATAATTATAGATATAGTTAAACCTTAATAGATAAGCTTTTTATCTGCTTCAATTGACTATAAAGAAAATTGACCTCTAATTTCAGACGGGCTCTTTCCAAAAAATATTCTTTTCAAGCCAGACAATAAACTAAGTTCAATATCCTGAAGGTTTCGCCATTGCCATTGTCACAATAGCTAAAAGACTATTCAGTGGAAAAAAATAGCGCGAAATAACTTAGCTATATTTATATCTATGTACTTATAAAGAGAGTCAGTGGGTCAGATTTATTCTATCCAATTTATCTTTCAACGCAGAGCCTGGGAAGTTAGGTTTAAATAAGTACAGCGGTCAGAAACTTCCTTTTTCTAGCGGTCCACGACTGTTTTATAAATTAAATTTTTATTGTCATCTTTACTTTATTATTCGTATAATAAAATCATGACTAGGCGAAAACTGTATTTTATCTGTTTGTTCATTAATTTTTGTTATGTATTCACCGAATATATCGTTAAATATTGGTCAATATATAAACTAAATAAGTTGGAACATTACCTTTTATAAATTCTAGTGTATTAATAGCATTTCTATTACTACTATTATTGTAAAATAGTGAATTAAAAAAATAAGATACACGATAAACTGCAGATTATATTTTATAAATGATAAAGTACCTATTAAACGTACTATTATAGTCTATTGCTATGAATGTTTGTCATTGAACTAATAATTTAATGTGTAATTACTATTGCTCTTTGACTTTGTTCAGTAAATATGTTTAATCAAAAGTTACCAATTTATTTAAAGGTAACTCAAGAATATTATTTGTTACGTTATTATATAATTTAATACTCATTTCCATAAAAAAACCTATTAACATTTTCGAAACGCCATTCATGAGCATCAATTTTGTATTAACTTAAAGATGTAATTTTATATTATCTGTGCTTGCAAATATCTACAATATTCAGTGAGAAACATAAACTGTTCCATTTAGACAGTGCCGCTGGATGTAACTAGTAAACATGGCGAAAGGAAGTGTCAGTGTAAAAATGAGAAAGGGTTTATTGCGTTGATTCGGGCATGTGGAAAGAATGTCGGATGAAAGGATTATGAAAATCGAATGATAAAGGTACGGGACACCTCTCAGTTTACTTTGTGCTTGTGTTTGGGTAAACTGACTTGTCTTGTTAAAGGTAAATTTTAATACACTAATAAAATATAAGAACACTTTTTATTGAGCACGGAAAAATTATGACAAAAGAAAACTTAATATAAATGCGGTAAACAAAAGCCGACCTTATTAGCATAAGCAATCTCTTACAGATTATTTAATTTTATGTAATTAGAAGGATTTGTTGATAA